TGAATTGCTAAAATCTCATAACATACAGATAAATAAAATGAGGACTTGCCATTTGATATCAATATCTATCATCGATTAAGAATCAAAATGCAGATGCGTTGTCACCCCTGAGAACTGAGTAAAAATGCCTCGTTTCCAGCAAAAACTCGGTTCTGTACACTCACCATACGAAAGACAGCAGCATTAAGCTGCTATTTTATGCTGGTATTCTGTGTAAGCATGACTATACACCGGTTGAACCAAACCATTCGTGCTACAACTATGATATAGCTGAAGCATGGTTCTACCGCCATGCTTCAGCTATATCATAGTTGTAGCACGAATAGGTCGGCTCGACCGGGGAAGGACCCCGCACTCATAGAATTACCAGTGTAAACTAGCAGCTCAATTCTGCTGTTTTTCGTATGGTGAGTGTACAGAACCGAGTTCTTGCTGGAAACGAGGCATTTTTACTCAGTTCTCAGGGGTGACAACGCATCTGCATTTTGATTCTTTATTGAGGATACATGTAGATGTTTATGGGGTCACAGCAACCACTTACCATCAGGTGGGTTGTGTGCTCGCTTTTCACCCTTATTCTATAAAAAAAATTGGGCTCCCGCATAGTTTGCCACAAAGTAAGGTCCTAATCCACCGGCATCCATAGACTGCTTGCGTGTTTCATCAGGTCGTCGCTTCGTGTGGTTGTACTACTTCTTCATAATAATAAATCATAACAAATATATTATTAATTATAAACAACTTTCATCACTCATTATTCTCATATCGCCCGGCAAGGTTAGTTACGTTCGATCGCGATCGGAACAATTCGTGTAAACTCGTTTTTACATATTATAATGATTGTCTTTATAGAGTTTTACAGTGAAACATTTCAAGAATTGAGGAACATAAAACTACAAGTGCTGTTAGATATTCTGTAATAGAAGACTAGAAAACATAATAATAATTAGATTACTACATCATACAATTTGTATAATATGCCACTTTTTTTAATAGGATAAGGATGACAAACGAGCACACAGTCTACCTGATGGTAAGTGGTTGCTGTGGTCCATAGACATCTATATTTATCCTCGATTACGAATTAAAATGCATATGCGTTGTCACCCGTGTCCTCACGTCAGCGTCAAATAGCAGTTTCATGCTGCTGTGTTTTGTATGGTGAGTGTAGAGAACCGGAGACCCTTTTTATTGGAAACGAGGTATTCCATCTTAGTCCTCAAGGCTGACAACACATCTGCATTTTAATTCACAAACGAGGATAGATGCAGATGTCTATGGGTCACAGCAACCACTTACCATCAGGTGGACTGTGTGCTCGTTTGTCAACCAATCCTATATAAAAAAAAATTAATAATAGATAATAAATAGAAATATTTATTAAAGTTAAAAAATGGTATTTAGAGTGGGATTTAGAAAATTTATTAGTTGCTTTTTTTGCATTAAAAGCTGCGAATCGTCCACTGTTCTTGTCCAACTGACTGTAAGGCACTTTGTTAGACCTAAAGAGAGCCAGTTAAAACGCATCTTTAGCATTCTGCGTTTGGACCGGAGGGCCTTTTTACTGGTAACTAGGCATTACATCTCACTCCTCGGTGACGACAACGCATCTGCATTTTGATTATCAATCGATGATGGATGTAGACGACTATGGGACGCCGCTGTAACTTACCATCAGGTGAACTGTGTTTTTTTTTTTTTTTTTTATTTATAGGATAAGGGTGACAAACGAGCACACAGTCCACCTGATGGTAAGTGGCTACTGCGGCCCATAGACATCTACATCTATCCTCTATTACAACTGAAAATGTAGATGCGTTGTCACCCGTGAGGACTAAGGAATAAGAGAATGCCTCATTTCCAGTAAAAAGGGCCTCCGGCCACCTGCACTCACCAAGCGAAACGCAGAGGTAAACCTCTACTTCACGCTGGTTTTCTGTGAGGTCGTGGTACCACCCCGGTTCGAGCCGGCCCATCCGTGCGGCAGAAAAAGCTGCCGCGTGGCTCTACCACTGAAAAAAACTGTGTGGTCGTTTGTCAGCCTTATCATATAAAAAGAATATTACTAACGTATATATTATATTCATGTTGTACTTGTACGAAAACAATACAAACATTTGCACACTATTATAGTTATCGGGGTAATAAGTAATAACGATCAAGGTTTCGAGGAAGCGGTACGCTCACCGCCGCTTCGGGTACCTTCGGAAATGGTCGGCTGTGCTCGTATTTCGTGATTGAACCGGAAATGTATCTTCAAAGTAATGAGTCTTTAATTTTCATGTAACATAACCCTATTTATGATGTTTTATGAGTAATCTCTGACCGCACGCGATTCGATCCACGCCACAACAAGAAATTGTTAATTGGAAATTTAATACTTGGTATAAATAATTTTATTACGTGGTAGAGCACGCTCTCACAGAATACCAGCTTAAAATAGCAGCTTAATATTGCTGTGTTTCGTATGATAAGTGTAGAGAACCGGAGATCCTTTTTACTGGAAATAGGCATTCCATCTTAGTCCTCACGGGTGACAACGCATCTACACTTTGATTCTTAATCGAGGCTAAATGTAGGTGTAGGGGCAACAGCATCCACTTACCATCAGGTGGACTGTGTGCTCGTTTTTCGCCCTTATTCTTTAAAAAAGTCCTCATTCAGCACATGCTTCGCGTTGACCCAATTACCGCCACGGAATCACAATTATGTATCTATCTTTCGGTGGACTGTTTCATGATTCAAGATAAACTAGACCGTTATTAGCCTGACAAAAACTTGGACAAAGTCGTTCTAATGGTGCAAATAAACTAAATCTCAAGTAACATTACTTAGAAACAATTTATTGAAAACACAAGCAACTATGACAAACAATTTTGTAAAAAATTGAGGTTGAAAACGCGAGATCAAAACAGGTTCATTGAGAGACGAATTACAATACAAATTATAGAAGCAAGTCGAGTTTAGTATAATATAGTGGAGGACCTACAATCGAGTCATATATTTTTATTATTTTATTTTATTTTTTATTTTAAAGGATAGGGTGACAAACGAGCACAGAGTCCAGCTAATGGCTGAAGTGGTTGCTGTGACCCATAGACATCTACATTTATCGTCAATAAAGAATCAAAATGCAGATGGGTCGTTAGCCGTGAGGACTAAGATGAAATGCCTCTTTTCCAGTAAAATGGGTCTCCGGTTCTCTAAACTCACCATAAGAGAAACACAGCAGCGTTAAAAACTTATTTTAAACCAGTGCTAAAAGCCCATGGTAAGTGGTGATGAAGCCCTAAATGGTAAATCCGCACTCTCTTAGCGTAACAAGCCTATTCACTCTTGCCCAGAAGACGCCCAGATTATATTCGGACGGAAAGACAGACGCCGGCTAATTATTTCACTCCTTTGCTGTACGTATTACAAAAGAATAAGCAAACCGTTTGGATCTAATACGTGGAATGTCGACAACAAATGGGTGAAGACCCGCCGACCGTCTGGTTGTTCGATGGTGGAAAGGATAGAGAGAGAGAGGAATTAAAGCATGTGATGTAAAAATGTGTCGATCTGTTCGTCTTCATGATGGGTCACAGTATCATGACTTAGATTACTTTCGTTTTATATACGTAATATTTCGCACGTGGTAGAGCCATGCTGCAGCTATATTAATAGTATAGTTGTAGTACGAATGGGTCGGCTCGACCGTCGAAGGACCACGCTCTCACAGAATACCAGCGTAAAATAGCATCTTAACACCGCTGTGTTTCGTATGGTGAGTGTAGAGAACCGGAGACCCTTTTTACCGGAATAGAGGCATTCTCAGTCCTCGAGGCTGACAACGCATTTGTATTTTAATTCGCAAACGAGGATATATGTAGATTTCTATGAGCCACAGCAACCACTTACCATCAGGTGGACTGTGTGCTCATTTGTCACCCTTGTTCTATAAAAAAAATATACCTACCTAACATTAAGGGCGCACAAACGACGGATAATTTCACAATAACTTAACAAGGTTGTGGAACTGCTTTTGTACCTGACTGCTAGGCATAAAATCTGTCTGCTTATGTGCCACCCTCTGAACTATTTCTGCCATCAAGTAACAGTGATTGCACTGCAGTGTTCCGGTCTGAAGATAACAGTATGAGTATTATATATAACCAGTCATAATTACAGGCTGGCATTTCACCTTAGGTTTTAGTGGTGACAACCTATCTGTTGCCTTTTTTTTTAAAGTTTGTTGCAGTTGCAGGTATATATGGGTGGCAGTAGCCACTTACCGACTGAATGTTAGTTAATGATTTCTTATGTTTACGCGAACATTACACATTGAAATAAAACTAGGTTTTACGGATTTTATCGCGGATACTAAATTATTTTGTATTCCCGATGTTTCGAGTAATTTACGCACCCATGTTCACTGGTGGGGGGGGGGGAACAAGTCGCCCACAAAAATAAGTTAATAGACGCTATAAAATCGTAAAAACTAGTTTTATTTAAATGGCAGTTAGTTTGTTTCTATAATTTTATTAAAAAAAAAAACCTTAAGGCACGAAAAAAAGGATTTTTCAAGACTTAAAAAGTTAAATGTTAACATAGTATCATTATAATAAAAGAGATCGGAGTTATTTGATAATTTGCTGTGTAAAGACCGCGTAGTTATAATCCACGAGAATTACAAAACAAATATTCTACGACGGATAAACTTTTCTATGCATGACTTGTAATTACTCAAATTGGCGACGCAACGGGGAGCCTTGACAAAAGTACTGCTATCACTAATCTGACAGGGAAGTGTAGCAATTGTGGCAGGAATTCCAAACTGCGTGACATGTGCAACAAGGAAATGCTTGCGAACAAATTTCAATGAGATCAAATACCTACTGTTAATGAATAAGACTACGGAACAGAACCTACGATATAACAAGCAGCATTTTATTATTACAGATTTTAATTTCAATTTTCATTTTAATTTAGTCTTATAAAACCATTTTCCTTGTACCCAGGCGGTGGACTGGTGGTCGGTGGGTGTGCTGACTTACGAGTTGCTCACCGGCGCTTCCCCGTTCACGGTGGAGGGCGAGAGGAACACGCAGCAGGAGATCACGAAGCGTATCGTCCGTTGCAGTTATCCGGTGCCCAATGATGTTAGTCCAGAAGTCCAGGACTTTATTAAGAAGTGAGTTTTTCAATCTATAACGATTTATTACATGCTACCAATAGTCAAAATTTGCCATAGTTGCCACCCTTGGCAGTCGTGTGGGCAACCGCAGTTTTAATTACTTTCAGTTGTTACCGGAAATCAGGTCGCCTTTATGACTCCCACGGGATAATAATATGTGGTAGTGGATACTTCTTACACGGCGACACATCATGAGTTTTGTGGTAGTACGGTTACTGCCAGTAAAACTTTTGTTCGTGAGACTGGTGACATAGAAAAAAAAACACAAACGTTCTAAAACGGAGTCTAACAACGACGAGTAAAGGACTAAGAAAAATTTTGATTGAAAATAGTATCTACATATACCAAATTTAATGTCTGGTTTTATACCTGTTTTTACACTCACTGTTGTATACCTATTTGAATTACTGTGATGTATTCCGTTTTGCACATATAACACATCATATTCTTCTTTATTTGAAGTAAACTGCAAGTGTCTTTGGCCTGCAGCGTTGGCCGTCAGGTGTTCACAAGAGTTCGGCTCACCAAAAGTCGCAACTCAACGTTACGAACTTTATCGATCGCGTTTCAACGGTGACTAGCCATTTGTGCAGGACAGGATTGTGCGCAAGCACAGGTGCACTCTATTACCTCACTCTCATAGTCGGATGGGACGGTAACGAGAAAATTCAGGCGCAGGGCCAATGGCTTTATGTACTTTCCAAGGCACGGGGGGAAACACCACCAATTCCTGACACCATGTTACTACTGAGAGTTACTAGACAGAAAATTTCTATAATCGATTTTGGCTTAACCCGGGATTTAAACCCGTTTATGACCACTCACCAGTGCGGCAGTCATAGAGGTACACGGTTGTGTAGGGTGCGTAAAGTCTCTGCAAGTTCTAGTTTCGGCAAACGGTTTCTGAGGAATTGTTCGGATTAAACCCAGCCGCCAAATTTCACGAACGCACATCGCGGCAGAACTCCCGATACCATCCACACCATCTGGATGATTGACGGTCCACCACTGTGCGATTTAGAAGATGTTTTCTTCCTCGAACAACTTCCCTGTGGAAAATACGACTTATTATCCATTCGAAGGGCAAAGAGCGTTGTACCGAACTACTCGTAGATGAACGTTTAACAATAATGACATATTACAAACTTTACAGACTCCTGGTGAAAGATCCGAGGCGTCGACTCGGCGGCGGTGATGGCGATGCCGAAGAACTGAAGACGCACCCGTTCTTCCAGGTTAGATTAATGTTCCAAGGTGTGTCTGGTATACATTTTAATTAATTATGGTTTCAGCATATACATATCATTAAACGTTGAAATAAAACTTTTTAAATGACAATCAAAGAAGCAATTCTTCCTCCTTTGTTAGTTTTTTCAATCAATCAGATCAATCTACTGCTGAATATTGTTTACAATAACGAGGTAATTTTTTTAATATATAAAATTGAAGTGATAAACGAACCTGCAGTCCGGTCCACCTGATGGTAAGTGGTTACTGCAGTCCATGGGCCCGCAACTAACTTCAAGTAAAGAAGGCTACAGGTGCGTTGACACCTCTGAGGACTATGATAGATGGAATGTCTTAACTCCTGTAATCATACTTGTTCTCAACCTCCTACCCATTGTTCGTGGCAGAAATGAGTAAGAGGATGGTATCTGCCCAGGCTCTTAGGCAGAAGTGAAATGGCTAATTTGTGGTAAGACTAATCCATTTTAAGAGAGACTTTTTTTTATATAATAAGAGTGATAAACGAGCACACAGTCCATCTGATGGTAAGTGAATACTGAAGCCCGTAGACATCTATCCTTGATTAAAAATGCAAATGTGTTGTCACCCTGAGGACTAAGCTGGAATGCTTGGCTTCTTTCATCATTTTAAACTTCCTATATCACGTAAAAATGTTTTTTTAAAACCGCGGGGCCGTTAAGCGACGCGGGTTGCATAGGCAGTGGCAGTTGCTTACTTTGCCTTTAGGTTGATTTAGTCCTTAAGTCTCCTCCATAGATCGCCTCTCTTGGCTGACTAGTTAGCTACCGTTTACAGTTTTTTAATAGTTTGTGTTCTCATCAGAAAAATTCAACTGCCCATCTTTTGTTTCCCTGTGTTGTCTCTTACGAAACCCAGGGCTGTGGGAAATTTAATGAGCCACGCTTAATCTACATAGCCCTAATTGAGCAAACACAAACGTCGTACCATCGCTTGTTACTTACATTTTGTTTTCTTTTCGAAATCAATTCTTTACCTCGAAACCACACAGTTGCCGAATGTATATTGTTAATTGTATTGTTGTAATCGCAGGTTACCGGCTACTTGTTCGTGCCTTATGTTATTTTGGTAATGAATAATATGATTTATGACACCATACATAGAATACTTAAAGTAACTGTTTGTGATATTTCACCGTGTGGCGGCGCTGTCGTCGCGTCACAAGCGAAACACATCGAAGCCTAAATCGCGCTAACAAAGTTCCGAAGTTAAAGCAGTATATATAGAATAGCTCCGAGCTATCACTCGGAGCGTTGGCCGCTCCCCGGGCAGAACACCTTGCCCGGCGGGAGATCTCCCCTTTTCCTTCCACCGGCTACACTGGTGACCATTTGACGTGATATGAACACGCAACCAAACAACTTTCGGAAACTATAATTTCAAACCTTCGTCATTATCCTCAAGAGCACCTTGCCCGGCGGGAGATCTATCCTTTTCCTTCCACCGGCTACAACCGTATCAGTCCATTATACCGTGTAGCGGCGGTGTTAGAATATTTAGTACACCATATCGTCCCGTAGGACGACAAAAGGAAACAAACCAAGATGGGCAGCGGAGTCATTCTAATAACAGTAAGAACCTACTGCCAAGCGTGACAACTGTGACAGATAAGGATATAGGTATATGATATCTTGATGAGGCAATCTACGAATGAATTAACACATAATTTCCATTTTAAAATTGGTGTAGTTTTGTGGACTTGCTTCGTCGGATGATAATGAAGTTCAAAAAATTATTTCCTTCCGATGGTCTAGCCTGAAGTTAACATAAAAAGTTCGAAATATATTTTGAACACATAAAAATATACCGAAATTATTGGGTTCTTTAATCTTAATGTGTATCTTTTATACGCCTTTTTCCTGTAAGTGTAAACAAAAACAGAAAGCAAGGACAAACTATTTAATATGTGCGCGTATACATTTGCCCTAACATGCCACGTGTGTCACCTAGTACGTTTGTGAATACACAATAATGATTCAGCCCAAAAGATGTCCAAAATAAAACTACTAAACTCATGGAAATGAAAAGAAGTAAACTGTTCTGCTCTGTCTCGCTCCAAAACGTTCAAAAATCATTAGTTTTTTGCAAGCGTCCAATATTAAAGTGCTTATGACGTAAATCAACATGAGCTTTTTTAAGAAATTAAAAAGAGCCTTCGACCAAAAACTCGATACTATGTGAGGTGTTTATTTTTGTTTTTACGTAACAAGGAAATACTAACGAGTTTTCTATTAGAGTTAACGAAACTATAATAAATAAACCACTGAATAAAACCAATTTATACGGGATTCATTACGTTTAATTTTACTTATTTTTAATTATCGACATCAGCACCCATGGTCACGCGGGACTGGAAGCATGAGACTGGGAAAAATACCTGAAAGGTGTCGTGTGCGCGTACACATAAGATATAAACTTATTGTGTCCAGGATTTGGACTGGGGTGCGGTGGCCCGTAGAGAAGTCCCGGCGCCGTTCGTCCCTGCTCTTTCGCACGCGGCTGACACGTGCAACTTCGCGGATGAGTTCACTCGCATGCCCCCAACCGACTCCCCAGCTCAAGCGCCGAAGCACCACGACAAACTGTTTCTGGGTAAGTTGGAGCTACTTAGAGCTAGTTTGGCAGAATCCGTTGAAACAGAAACTTTTTTATTCAATATAGATTATAAATAATACTTATTGAAAGTCACTCTTTTGTATAATTACCACTGGTTCGAAAAAAAAATCTCTGTCCTGTGAAGAACCAGCAAGAAACCCAGCGGGACTTTTTTTTAAATAACAGCTTACAATCAAGTATGTTACACAAATTAACAACACAACAAATTGGAAATAGCTTGGTAGCGATTACCTCGTTCCCAGGGGTTATTATCATCTATAAATTCTTTAATATTATAATAACCCTTTTTATACAAACTTAGTTTAATAAAGTTTTTGAACTTTGAGCAGGTCAAATTTTGTATATTTTCTGGAATTTTGTTGTAAAAGCGTATACATCGCCCTACACTTATTTTTGTAAAACTACTTTTATTTTTGTGTACGTACATTACATTTTCATAAATTTATTGAGAGGCAAAGGTTAATATATTAATTTCCTTAATTTTTTGTCGCAGCGACTCTTTAGGCTTTAAATCATAAATTGCTCTTATGGCCCTCTTCTGTAAAACAAATATAATTTCAGTGTCAGCTGCGTGTCCCCATAGCAAAATACCATACGACATTATGCTATGGAAATAGCTAAAGTAAACTAGTCTAGCTGTTTCAACACTGGTTAGACTTCTAATCTCTTTTACGGCATATGCTGCAGAACTAAGTCTGCTTGCTAGTTTTGATATATGGGGGCTCCATTCAAGCTTCGCGTCTAGTGTGATTCCAAGAAAAATGGTGGTATCTACAAGACTCAGTTTCTCCCCATTTAAAATTACATTAGTATTTAATTGTTTGACATTTGGAGTCATACATTTCTTACATTTCGTTTTAGTGCCATTTAAATGCAAATTATTAACATTGAACCAGTTTACTAATTTAGATATAGCATTATTTACTTCGTCATATTTTAGCAATTGTCGACTTAATTTGAAAATTAAAGAAGTGTCATCTGCAAATAATACTATATTATGGTTATTTCCTATGTAAGGTAAGTCATTCATGTATACAAATGTAAATGCAATACGCATTTACATTTTGTTTAAGTGATGACTCGGCGACGGTAGGAGAAGAATTCAGTGACTTAGTGGTTAATATTGGAATATCAGTAAAATATTTCTCAAAAACCATTGCAACGTCCTGGTTAATTTGTTATTAACACTTAACTGGTAGTTTCAATTGCGAGAGTTGATCTTACCAGTTTCGCTATTAATTATACTCCATGTCATTTTAATTTTATTAGAAGCCGTCTTAATTTTGTTGCTCAAATGCAAAGACTTGGCTGTAGAGCACATTCTTTTGAATATTTTTGAATATTTTTTTACATATTCCCTAAATTCGACGCTATAATTATATGACCTTTCATGGCAATAATCAGATAAGTTGAATAGGGAAAGAGCACTCGCACGGAATACCAGCCTGAAATAGCATTTTTTTGTGTTAAATCGAATCAGTTTGACCGAAAAAGGACCAGGCTCGCATTAAATAGCAGTATAATGCTGTATTCCATGTGGCAAGTGACGAAAATAGAAAACCCTTTTACCTGGTAGCAAGGAGGCCAATATAATTGTTTCTCATTCTAGGTTATTCATACGTGGCCCCGAGCATTCTTTTCTCGGAGAACATAATTTCGGACCAGATATGGATGCAGGTGACCGGCCAAAAGCACGACAAACTGAAGGGATGGGTGGCTAAGGTGAGATTCATTTACGAATAATTAAAATAAGGTCACTATTTACTAACTTCACACTACTGTACACTGATTTCCTCTAAACTTTCTCAAAATATCAGAAAATTCATATGCGTCATAAGAACGTTTTCGGATTATGTCTGAAATTATAAAAGAATAGGCATTTTTTAAATTTTATCAATAGCATGTATAAAATATATGCAGGTAATCAAGTGGTTGTTGTTAAAATTCTTATTGTTTTAACATTTTTAATTTGTGTATAATCTAATATAAAATTTAATATTTGTTTGTTCGTATTTTATGCTCTGACATACCGTTCATCAGATTGCCGTAAAACTTTGTCAACTTATTGCTTGCACTTGCGCGAAGGCTTAATACAATTAACTTACAGTAGGTAGCGCGCGTATCGCACCGACAAATTTATTTGAAAATTTATATATCAACTTAAACGATATAACTTTTCCAAATTTAAAAAGATATTTCCTTAGTTATTTCTGCTGCGGCAGCTACGCGTCGGATACTATCTAGTATTTAATTTGTTACATATTAAGACGGTTAAAAATAATTCTTTATTATGCAAAAAGTGATTAACTTCTGAACGACTTGACAGTTGAGGCCATAATCACATATAATATCCAATAGGTGGAGCTGTATTAAAATTTTAACAAAACCTTCATTTATATACTGAAATGACTCATATTCACAATAATATAATAGGTACTATACCAACATAATTTTCATTTGAGAAAGTCAAAAAAATCTAGACATAGGTTTATATTTTAATCTAGAAATTTTACATTCGAACCCAAATCATTGCGCCCCCTACCTCAAAGCCTTCCTAGGCCAAGCTAGTCAATTATAAAATAAGATTCTTATATATATTATTATAAGATGTTTTTGTTTTCACGTTCTAGGACTCTCCGTTCTTCCAAAAGTATGCAGTGGACTTGAGCAGTCCCCTCCTCGGCGACGGCTCGTATTCCGTGTGCAGGAAATGTATAAACAGGCAGACCGGCAAGGAGTACGCTGTTAAGGTAAATTATGGTTTCATTTAATTTTGAGTAGCGACTGCTTACGGTATTGTCATTCTGGCAGAATTGCTCGAGGACCTCGGCACTATGCTCAATGATCTCAATAGGTGTGCGGCTATTCGAGTATTACATAAGTAGCAAAAAGTAGTAGGGAGATCTTTGTTTTGCTTATTTTTGATGATATGGGAGGCGAGCAGTCTGGATCGTGATTACGTCAGTATTAATTATGTATTTACTTTTTCTGATTTTTCTGCAAAATTTACTAGATTCTGATTTGAACACATAGCAACGCTACTTGTCGCTGTAAAAATTACTAAAATTCTGCTCACGCAATACTTTAATGGTGTTACCCAACGGAACTTAAAATGAACATGGACAAAACAAAGGTCATGTATAACGTCTATGTCACACCTATGCCATTAGTTGTTGGAAGCACTACGCTCGAAACTGTTGCCGAAAAAGCTTACCTAAAGGCGGCTCTTCACGTTGGTCAACATAGTGGCGAATATGTTGGCCAAGAATTTGTGATCGCGTCCACACGTTGGAAGGTCGTTCAGTTAGTAAGTAGTAAGTACGTTGACAGTGATAACTTACGGTTCTGAGATGTGGTCCTTCACTGCTGGTCGTATGAGGCAGCTCAAGTCTATGCTCAGGGTTTCTCTGTGTGATAGACTTCATAATGAGGATATCCACAGTAGAACCAGAGTAATCAAAATAGTCCATCGGATGAAGTTAGCTGAAGTGGCAATGGGCCGGCTCGAAAAACTGACAACCGATGATTAGGAAAGTTTCTCGAGTGGCAGACCTCTTACCAGGTCTCTATGCAAGCAGCCTCTGAATGTTTGCTATGAAAGGCTCAGAACCATGTTTTGTGGCTTTCCTTGGAACAGGCCTATGTTCAGCAGTGGACTTGTGAAGGTCTGTAATGATGATGATGAAATCCATCACACTATTCCACCTCTGCGTGTTGTTTCTTGTAAATTTTAAACATTTTACATATATTTATATTATTCGTTTAGTTAATTTGTCCATTAATATTTCAGATAATCTCATCACAAAAGAAGGATGTTAAACAAGAAATAGAGTTGCTCAAAACGTGTCAAGGATGTCCTTACATAATCACTCTACACGAAGTTTTTCATGATTCGGTAAGATTTTAAATTTATTATTGGATTACTTACATGATAAACAGTGGTAGAGCCACGCGGCAGCATTTCCATCTTAGTCCTCACGGGTGACAACGCATCTACATTTTGATTTGTAATAGAGGATAGATGTAGATGTCTATGGGCCGCAGCAACCACTTACCATCAGGTGGACTGTGTTCTCGTTTGTCACCCTTATCTTATAAAAAAAAAATGATATTCAAAACTGATAGTTTATGTGCTTGTGGAGACATTTTGAATTTAAAAGATAAAAAGTACAGAATTTTTGAGATTTTTTACTTAATTTTTCTTCACCATTTGGCTATACTTATTGTGAACCTTCTCTGCAAATTTGGCCGGTTATTGCAAAATAACTCTGTATAAGCTGATACTTTACTCTTTATCGTTACCCGTTTACAGGTAATGCTCTGCCCGATCACATTTGTGTTTTCAACTAATTAATTAATTAAACCCATACAATTTAATATGACAGGCTTTCACCTACATCGTAATGGAGCTGGCATCTGGTGGGGAGTTAAGCGGACAACTGTCTGGCGGCTTGGGCGAGAAAATCGCTCGGAGGCTCTTGGCTCAACTGGCTTTAGCCACGAGGCACATGCATGCAAGGAAAACTGTTCATAGGGATCTCAAACCCGAGGTTAGTCCAGGCGCGAACATATTTTTTTAATTTTTATATACAAATTTTAATTTTTTTTATAAAATTTTATTAATCATAATGATATAATTGGTGTCACTGATACTTCTGGTACTGCGACGGTCAATTCGATTGTCATGCTTGACGATCAAGGCAAACTACAAAGGGAGAGGGCAAGGTCCTGTTGTGAACAGTGTTCACCCAGAAATTCGACTTTGACTACAATTTGGGGACGATAGGATTAACGGTTTCTTTTACGTCTCTAAAACACAGAGAATGAAAAAAACTTTTGTTTTTGAGCCATGAGATAGAGCCATGCTGCAGCTATAATAGTAGTATAGTTGTAGCACGAATGGGTCGGCTCGACCGGGGAAAGACCACGCTCTCACAGAATACCAGCGTAAAATGGTAGCTTAACACTACTGTGTTTCGTATGGTGAGTGTGAGAACCGGAGACCCTTTTTACTGGGAAAGGGGTATTCCATCTTGGTCTTCATGGGTGACAACGCATCTGCGTTTTGAGATAGATGTAGATGTCTATGGGTCAACCGCAATCACTTACCATCAGGTGGACTGTGTGTACGTTTGTCACTCTATCCTATAAACAAAAGAAAATTTTACATAGTTACTTAAAATTACACCACCATACACCAGTTAAACTACGAAAGGAAGTTAGGTATATGAACTGTTTAAGTACTAAATATTAAAAATTAAAAAATTTAACATTTCAAAAAGGAAATATTATATATTTACTTTGGGAATCTTCTGGGAGGGAAAATACAATGTATTGTTCCTTGTTACAGAACATCTTGCTGACTTCAACGCGTCTGAACGAAGCGAAAGTGAAAGTGGTCGACTTTGGTTTCGCCCGAAATATGCCGGAGACCGAAGAGAGGCAGCGCATGATGACCCCTTGCTTCAGGTAGATACATTGAATTTTTTTTTTATATAGAATAAGGGTGACAAACGAGCACACTCACAGTCCACCTGATGGTTAGTGGTTGCTGTGGCCTATAAGACATTTACACCTATCCCCAATGAAGAATCAAAATGCTGAGGTGTTGTCTCTCCTAAGCACTAAGACGGAATGCCCCGATTCCACTAAAAGAGGATCTCCGGTTCTGTACACTCACCATACGAAACAGCTGCATTAAGCTGCTAGTTTACGCTGGTATTCTGTGAGAGAGTGGTTCTTTCCCGGTGGAGCCGACCCGTTCGTGGTACAACCATAATATAGCTATAGAACACCTTATTTATGAGTGGCTCTACCACATATAAATGCTTTGTCCCTGTCTGAAGGGTATTAATAATTCCTCGTGTCCAGTAGAAAGGGTCTATATTTAAGGGTTTGTATTTCAGTCCTAGTGAAACTGAGCCAGTAGTAAGTTCAGAACGAGTGTTTTGCCCTTATCCTATGGTGCGTCGACAAAGAAGAGTCCCAGTTAGCCAGTCTCCACTATTCATGCGCTGCAAAATCGTACTGAACACTTGCCGCTGCTTGGGCAGGAAACATGGCGTCTATAACAGGCATTCAATCTTAGTCCCCTGAAGTGACAAGCATCTGTAGCCGTCTTTGTTTTAACCTACTGTATAGCATGGTCTTTATCAACTTTTTTAAGCTACTAAAAGGTTTCTTTTTCAGAAATGCGTTTAATTAACATTTAAACACCCATACTAAAGTAGGAAAGCACAAGAGGCTAAATAGGGATTTACTCGGGCGTCGTGAGGACCTATTGGATTGTGAAGATTAGACGCTAAAAAGAAAAAAAAAAGTTATATCATTGAGTTATATGTACTACGTACTAGAGAAGCCATTCTAAAAAAAAAAAAGTGCACTACTCTCTTTTCGCGCATGCGCGAGAGATAGTAGAAACGCGCATGCGCAGTTGATATAAGCGCGTTGCGTCTGCACTGTCAGCTTTTAATTTAAACTTTAATTTGAAATCTTGTATTATTAGCGCCGCTCCACAGTGCATGAATATTGAAACCACAGCCTAACTAGTACAAATCACACTAAATGACACACTGTACGGATTGCAGTACAGTTCAGTTGAACATAGTGTATGTTCGGAATAGGAAATCTAATATGTAGTACATATATATCGATGGGTTATATGATATATGCGCTTTCACTGGTGGGGGGAGAGTGAACAGGTTTTCAAAAATGGAAAAAGTCACATAGAAATACTCGGGCGCTTTAGATTTTAATAGTGTATGCGATGCGCCCCACATGTTTCTGATAACAGAGAAATATTGGAGTATATAAGTGGGGGTGGCCGTAGGAAGGTATAGAAAATAGGAACAAAAATTATTCGAGCGCGTCAGATATTGAGAAGGGATGTTAAGTGAACCCTCAACTAGCTCCAAAAAACTGACGATTTGAACGCGACCAAAGGTCATGGCCGATTTTTGAAAATGCAATAAAAAATCATGACATTGAAATACTCGAGCGCGTCAGATTATTATACAGACGCTTTATCTTGATGTCCTTGTAGTACTGATCCATAATCTGACAATTATGTGGAGGAATTTTCTTAATCTGACGGTTGGATTTATTTTTGTTTATATATATATATATATATAATAAAATTCTATCCTGTATTTAGAAAAAAATAGAGTAATGAGAATTTTTTTTAATAATTTTTTCAATCTTTATCGTCGGTGCAGTCATCTTTATATTCGACTTGGTCGGTTTGACTTGGTCGTTTTCATGTATGATCGAAAATTATACTTCATTAAATGTGTCGCGGGATATTCTGCGAACCTGTACATTTTGAGGATATTCCAAAAAATTCTTGCAATTTTTTAATATTTCCGACGTAAATTTTATTATTTTTCCAAATGTTTTGTTCACAAAATACACAATTCGAACTATTGTCACTCATTGTTGTAACATATATCAAATTTACTGCCCTGGATTCAATAAACGTTTTTTTAAAACATAATATAAAACGAAAACGTTGTACATGCACGCGTTGTTGTGATCAGCTCTGATGGCATCATAGCGCCGGAAAGTACTATGGGGACCATGAAGCAAATACAAAGAGGAGACGTTGTAATTAAATTTCACTATGTAACAACGCATGACAATTTGCGGGGTGAGGGGATGCAAAGCCCCGCCCACTACACGATCTACATCTACCGATAAATAGTAAAACTACTCGAATCTTTCCATATCGATGTTGCAATGTAGCTTAGCTACCTTGACGGTAGATGGCGGCATGTCCACAAAATGTTATAGACTATAAAAATAATATTTTGCGATTAAAATTTCTTTGTCTGAATGCAAAACAAATTTCAGCACCTTCGTATGATTATTTTACCAATACTGAGCTCTACGGACCTTTATATTTTTAGTTCACATGACGCAAAGTGTCGCCATCTAGTGTCGAATTTATTTAATTATATTTGAAAGCCGACGCAAAGAGATTTTTCTAGAACTATTTTAATAAATTAGGTGTAAAAATATTTACAAATGAAATGTGATGCCATCCATAACATCAGAGCGTCTATCTGAGTAGTTTTTACACAATAAAACACAATATTTCATCTTTTTCTTCTTAATACTACGAAAATACACCGATTTGCGATTTTTTCAACACATAAGCGCACAGGACGAATGCTGACAGTATACTAACTAAAGCCACGCCCACTATGATGACGTCAGGACCTACTTAGAATCACAGTGCACAGTTGCTTATGCCGTCTCCCCTTTGTATTAGCTTCATGATGGGGACGGTGCGAGAGAGTGAGAGATAGAGAAAGAGTGAGAAGGGCAGAGTGGCGCGAAGTGCGAAATACATAGTTCTCAGCGGCTGCATGCACCACACTATTGACGATTTTAGCTACTTCGGCTTGTGCACATCGTCAGATTATGTTATTTCCGTGATCCGTGAATAATTTCCTTCAAATTAAAAAAAAATAACTACGCTTGGGAATGTCCAGCTGTTTTTTTGCATGTTTGTGACTCTCCCAATTCCTTGTGTCATGCTCAAATTGTCATATTATTGAAATGCACACTTTTCTGCATGTAATTATTAACTTACCTTGCCTTTCTGACGCACTCGAATTTTCTAACGACGATTTTTTTTACTTATCTAATCGGCTGCCCCAGACGCTCGACCCTATATAAAGGGCTGAGGTATGGAGGGAGTACTCAACAGGGTGCAAGGTTTCCCCTTGCTTGAACACAGTAGCTTAACGCTGTGTTTGAGAGAACCGGAGAACCTTTTAACTGTAAATGAGGCATTCCATCTTAGTCCTCACGAGTGACAACGCATCTGTATTTTGATTTGTAATGGAGGATAGATGTAGATGTCTATGGACCGCAGCAATCACTTACAATCAACAGGTGGACTGTGTGCTCGTTTGTCACCCTAATCCTATAAAAAAATTATAAAGATAAAATAATTACAGTAATAATGTGTTGTTGGGTAGTTTGCCGTACGCAGCTCCGGAGGTGGTGTCGTGTGCTCGCTCGTCCAGCGCGCCGGGCTACGGGGCCTCCTGTGACCTCTGGAGCCTGGGCGTCATCTTTGTGAGTCTTTTTTTTATTATTTAATGGCAAAGGAATCAACTCCCATACAGCCTAGTCTGACGTTTATTTTGTTCAGTTTTTTTACAATATGTTCATATTTATTGTATAGGTTTTGGAAGATTTTGACGGCAGTTTAACCCGTATGTCAAAACGGACACAATATTTTGTGGTTTAAATAATAGTTTTATTATTTCAACTAATAGTTAGTTTAAATACACAAAATCTCCAGAGTGAATTACCATTATAATACCGGGTCGATCTGCTTAGTCGGATAGTATATTAAAATATATTTTTAAATTCCAGTACTGCATGCTATGTGGAAAGGCGCCCTTCCAACCTGTGTCCAAAAAGGAACCCGTGACTGCGTTTATGGATAGGATCAGAACTGGAAGCTTCACCATGGAGGGTAAGTTTTATAATACGTTTCTTTTGAAGAATTTCCTTGTTTCTGCATCAAAATCTGCCTTTATCGCCTCGTGTGAAACTCCATTATTAATCGACTTCAAAAAGGAGGAGGATCTCAAATCGAGTGTAGATTTTTTTGTATTTATGTTACGCTATATCTTCGCAAATTGTAACTTAATTTTGATGATTCTTTATTTTATTAAATAGGTTATACTTCAAGGATGGTGCCATATTAATTTTTAATCCCAATTTATTTCATAATTTGGACAAATTTCACCCCTAACGGTAGCAAATAAATAACTTCTTTTTTATCAATTTGAAGTCGGTTGTTACTTTTTGTTAAAAGTTATAATTATATAAGCTATGTATAGCAGTGGACATTTGGTAGGCTGTGACGGTAAAAAAAAAATGTGCTAAGACAGTGATTCCCAGTGGTCCGCAAAAGCTTAAATATGGTCCGCGAAAGATTTAAATATTTTAACTACCCAATCGATTTAAATAACACGCGTATTATTTTCTCGTCACGCGGGCAGTGCAACATCCTTGTCAATAAAAATCGTAATTTTTACACAAATAATACTGTGTATGAATCCTTGTTTCCAGTTTATTGTATAATTATTAATTATGTTAAAAGCTGTGATTTAAAATTTATTCTTCGATTAACATAGTTTTTTTTCTTTCACCTTGTGGTCCCAGCTAACAATAAAGAAATGAAAGTGGTCCCTGGTCATATAAAGGTTGGGAAACCCTGTGCTTAGATATAGTGTACAGAAGTATTAAAGCCTCGAATTCGGAAGCTATTATGCGAATTTTATTTATTTTTTATATAGGATAGGGTGACAAACGAGCACACAGTCCACCAGATGGTAAGTGCCCCATAGACATCTACATCTATTCTCACTACGATTCAGACTAAGATAGAATGCCTGCCTTGGTTCTTCCCCGGTCGAGCCGACCCATTCGTGATATAACTATACGACTAATATAGCTGCAGCATGTAGCAGCAATATAGAAGTTACAATAAAAAAATGCGTGAGTGTCGTGGAATACTCGGTTGGAACGAAGTTCCTTGCGTAGTATATTATTATTGATAAACGTAGGTATTATATTATTGATTAATAAATACAAATAAATGAGTTACTAGCGTCTATTAAAATGAAGCGTCATTTGAAATAAAATAATATTTCTTTCATGGCAACATTAGAAAAAGTGGATAGATATGGATATTATTCCATCTCACTTTCTTATTTCGCCGCCCAGGTCGTCTACACTACGACACAAGGGGTAGTGACAAAAGAATCTTACACTTTTTATCGCCTAGCTCCCATCCGCCAAACCCGTACCGTCCGATAAAGAAATTCGTTCCAAAACTTCATCGCTTATTTTTCAACGCTTACTGGTAAAATGTTTTTATCCAAATTTAAACGGGATCGCCATTGAAGTCTAACCTATTTAATTATAAAGAAACAGAGGCAGACTTATGGCCGCCGATAGAAGTGAACACTCAATGATATATGCGTATATATGTACACAGTTAGCTATACTACGCGTAGTAGACATGCTCGTGACGTATATTGTGCTTGCGCACGAAACGAAAGATCTTCATTCATACCCAAGGCTAAGGAGTCAGAAATTAGCGCGTGACCGCTCGAGCGTCATTAAAACTATTTCAAAGTTTGTCATTCAATTAAAGAAACAGAGGCAGTCATAGGAACTGACGACAGAAGTAAAAACTCCATGATGTATGCGTATACATGTACACAGGCCGCTATACTACGCGTCGCTAGTAGCTAGTAGCGATGCGTAGCATGTCAAGGTTATTGGTGACGCGAATTCATAAGTATTTCCTACCTACCAAAAATCGCTCAACGCGGCTAATGAAGTTTTCTGTTCAAAAGAATCATCAAAATTTGTCCACAATTGACGAATGTATCGAGTAACACACATACATAAAACATACATAGGCTAAAAATTACGTACATATATATGTATGTACATACATTTCATTTTATTCGGGGAACTTACAGCTACATTAGCAATGTAGATCACTATATTAGAACTTATATACCAACAAAAAAGTTCCTCGTATAGGCAGAATAACGAGTAAATATAATGCTCGTAGTACTGTTACAGAATAAGTACATACAGACATCTTTCCAAAAACAATAGCATCCAAACTTTATAACATGGAGATATTTCAAAATTTGGACTATGGAAAATTGAACCCATTGCAATATTGAAAAAAAAACTGTCCAAGGTAGTAATATCTTCTTGGTGCTTTTTCCTACAGGAGCAATCTGGGACAGTATATCGAGCGACAGTAAGCGCATTGTAGCTGGCCTGCTCTCCGCGGAGACGTCGAGGCTCTCCGTCAACGAACTGTTGACCGAGCTGGGCTTCACGTCCGATGAGAGCGCTGGCTTCCAGCTTGCTGTAAGTTTTGTTTGTTTATTTGTTGATTTATTCTTTTTATTTTTTGATAACAAACACCAGCACAAACGTTATGATTTCTAAAAATCCTTCATACAATTGAAAAAGCCCATATCTCAGCAGCAAACTAACAGATTCATGCCTTGGAACTTACCATAATAATTATTTCTTGAATTATTTATTGTAATATTTTAAAATATGTTGTTGTATGCAAGTGTATAAAAAAAGTTGCTGTTGTAAATTAACTTATATACGTTATAGTTATATTATATAATAAATAACAATTCTTGGTACTGAACAAGTTCAGTTCGAACATTTGCTTTTTAAAATATTTTACAATTTCCCTTACAGGACATGACTAAAGCGGACCTCTACAAACGACGCAGCAAGAACAAACAGCGTAAATCGAGCACCTCCGAACCTGGGACTTCCTCGCAGAGCGAACAAACGGACCTCGAACCGAAGGAGACCTCACTGTTAGAAACAATCAACAATCTTAAGAGCAGGATGAATAAGAATTCGATAGATGATGACGTAGAATTAATAAGAGCTAACACCCAAGACACTCCAGTCGCAGAAGAGAGTGAACCGAGTTATCAGGATGATATCAATGATGATGTACCATCAGTGAAACCAGTCGAAAAGACCTACGGAAAGTCTAGATCTAAATTAGACGACTACATCTATATAGAGAGCAGTCAAGGCTTAGACGAAACAGAAGTAGCATTCCCTAAAGAAAGCCGGGTAAAGAAAGCAAAGGAACCCGAATCGCCTGTCCCCAGAAAACGCAGAAAAATAGAGACAAGGCAATCTCAAAAAGAAACTAAAGTCAACGGAGAGAGTAATAAGGAGTTGCCTAAAAAGGTTGAAACTAAACGAGGTAGAGGCAGACCTAGAAAGGTGCCGGAAGAGGCGAGAGTATTGAGGAGTAAGAGTTTGGAGAAAGAGAAGAAAAATAGAGCCACCAAAGAGTCTATCGAAAACGACAAGAGCACTGCCACCAAAACGACTAGAAAGAGGAGATATGAAGAGATATCCAAGCCAGTGCTGAGGGAGAAGGGACAAAACGGACACTCTTCTCGGAAGAGTAGTCAAGAAACTAAAACAACGGAACCGGTGACACGGAAAGTTGTCAGAGCGAAAAAGACCTTACAGCCGTTACAATTGGATATAGATCAGAATGTGAGAATGACTCGTTCCAGAAGGAGGAGATTAGAGATAAGTCTTTCTCCTTCTGAGGTAAAGAGCGTGATACCGGCATTCTCTTTCGAATCGGACCGTCGCGTGAACTCAGTCGAGAGCAACAGATCTAATACCAAAGCGAATTCGCGCAAGAACGCGAAAGTTAGCAAAGCAAAAAAGACACCGGTCAGAGCGACGCGTTCCAGAGGGAATCGCAGGTGAAAATAATCGTTCCTATAGAAAGTCCCGGTAATTCGCGCCATTGCTATTATATATATTATATCAATATATCCCGTTCTAGACGCGCTCATGCGTAGTATCAATAATCCAATATGGCGTGCAACCTCAAATTCCAAATATCGAGACAGGATAGTGATGCGATTTATATTTAAAAGATGGACGCTTTGCTCACGTGTAGTTTAATTAAAAAAAATGGTTTAAAAAATTGAAAAAAGCTATTTATTCAAAAGAGTAAATTATAAGCCACCCCCGCTTCGAGGGTGACACAAACTGTTTTTCTTTTTGTATTTTTTAATTTTAATCCTTTTTATTTAATGTTACTATTAATTTTTAAGACACCCTTTTTCCCTATAATTACCATTAGAGTTAATTCTTTGACGTTGTTTATTATGTATTTGTAGTTAATAAATTAAAATAATTGTAACTAGGTATTTTTGGGTGTGGATGTCTCTCCTCCCATAGTTGAAATTTTCTCTTATTTGTTTGTGCTCTTATAACAATTTATTTTTCGACTCGCTATATATAATATATAATATGTACTAAGTCTAAAAGAATTTGGTAAAAACACGTCTTAGCGGCGATATTATTCAGTTTTCTGACCGAAAATGCTGATAAATTGCGCGTGTAGTAGAATATCGTTTAGTTAATTTAATTCTATTGATTTGCGAAAGGTAACGGAGGAAATTCATATTTATTCGCTATTTAAAAAAAATTATAAAACTTAGGAATACGTTTGAAAAGTTTACCGTGAAGTAGTATATAATATACGAAAATGAAATATTGGGTGCGCTTAAATTTTTTTTTATTCAAAAAACATGGTGATCATCGTAGAACTCATATCCTAAATAGGTCTAAATTAAAAAAATATATTAAAAAATCACACTTAAAATTATAGAACTGTAGCCAAAACAAATGTAACTTTTTAATGTTAATGTTTTGTAAAAGCTTCGACTGAAATATATTCATATCTTGTATAAATAAAGCTTTACAATAAAGTTGAAACAATAGTTTAAATTAATTTATTGGTTATCATATGAGATTTCCCGGCAAAAATTAAAAAAAAAATTACGCGGGAATATCTTTGTCATATCTTCTCCATTGCATTTTCGAAAAGGAAAGCTGCGAAAACAGTCTATTTTTAATAGATATCTATCAACAAATGATTTTAGTTTGTTTGTGTGTGTATATCTGTTTCTTGAATTCTAGATTAATAGGTTAAATTTGTAAACGTTTCTTTGAAAATAAAATTTATCTAATAGTGATTATTATCTATCGATCTTTAACTTCCAATTTTAAAATATATAAAAAATGTATTCAAAAAAGATATCAAAGCGCGGTAAAGTGCCAAAGTTGCTTCAAATGTATTTTTCATTTGCTTGTTTCGTCTTGACTTAATTAAAATTATTTTAATTACATTAATTCGCTACATTTTCTAAATTTGAAGCGCCTTTACCAAATCATTTAAGAATGGCTTTCTTCATTGTAAATAAAGTTATTGTTTTGTACAAAATCGGTGGAAGAATTAATATTATTTATGTAGTACATAATTATATATATAAAATGAACCAATGAAGCGCCAGGATTTTACATATTAATTTAAAATTTTCATCAATATTTGTTTTACCTCCTACTCTAAGTACAGACGGGAATAACAATGATTTTCTTAATACAATATCGGTGGATCTTGAATAGGACGTTATTGCATATATATTGACATAAATAATGTATGTAAATAATTTGTTGGAAATGCATGTTGGATTGTCATGATGTTAGAAAAATGGTCTTACCAAAGTAATTAATATTGCTTTTAAATATAATTGTCTAAAACTTGTACACCAAATTTTGATCGATAACATGGTGTTACTGGCACAAATTTAAAATTTTCAAAATATGAATATTTTTTCTTTTTTTTTTTATTCTGGCCTTAGTACATCACTTTTAATGTTTATGATTAAATATTGTAAATCATACAAATAATCGTTAATGCACTGTTGAATTTTACATAACAGAACTTAAAGATGTTTAATTGTTTTATCTGAAATATATACGCAAGTACAAAAAAAATTATAAATATCAGAAGCAATATCGATTAATTATATTCTATTCAATTTGTTATGATTCGATCCGTCGTTGAATAAGGCATCATCGTTAATAACCTATGAAATTGTCTGTTATAACTTGTTACTGCCACTTTTTAGCACTTAACATTCTCTGTTAAACTCAGTTTCTTTGTCAAATTCTTAAACTGTTCTAGTGTCTATGTTGGCGACCAAGTGATTAATCAGGGTGCTATTTATAATGCCCGGGTAATAATAATAATAACAACTGAAATCTTAATTAATACTTATTTAAACTTTATATTTATCACATTATCTGACCATAACCTACTTAACCTAATTTTTTATTAATCTACCCAATGAGTAACGAACTTTATTCATAAAGTCCGGTTAATTTAATTAGTTCAGTTTTTATCATATTTCCTACTCATGTAGGGAATTATTCAAACTGACTGGACATTATAAATAATGCTCTATTAATCACTTGGTCTTTGACATCTTTATAACTTTGATCATTACTTCTTAACCATACACAGAGCTTTAAGCGTCTTAAACTAATCATAGTTTTATAATTATGAAATATCAAATTTTATTGAAAATGTACAGAAAGTTGCATAGAATTCCCGATCTAAAAATAGATATATTGTTGAGTGCTTACATGCGAGATACTATGTATAAAAATTCGCTTCCTTTCCTCATCGATCCAAACAAATCTCGCATGGAAGTCAAACCGTTGATGCCTAAACTTTGGAATATTCAAATTGTATACATTTGTTTTCTTGTATCAGAGAGTAGTAAAGAAAATTTTGTAGTTTTCAGAGCTTCTTTGCCAGGGATATAGCATAACAATAAATGGAGTGGAGTGTAGCATGAGTTATATACAAGAAATAGGAATGTATTTATTATCTTTAAAAATGTAATTAACTTGTCTATGATATCTCTCATACAAGAATGAATGTTGCCAGTTGTTTACAATGTCAGTGCCCGCGCATTATAAATCAGTATAGTAGGAAATTGTGAATTTCCACAGTGTGAGAACTAGCCTTTACGTCACATACGTGGTAACGTTTGTTAAAGTGCACTTAAAATGGATTGTACCAAAAGATTATATAATTTTATAATAAAGTGTTAGAGGTTATTATTGTGGAGTCGGCGATAAACAAATTTTGTAATACGTTACACGAATGCCGGCCGGAGATATTTGATTGTAATAAATATACCATTTTAACATTTGTTTGTAGTTTTATTGATCGTGGTCAACTTTAGATGAATAGTCTTTACTTTTTTTTATAGAATAAAGGTGACAAACGAGCACACACTCCATCTGATGGTAAGTGGAAGCTGTGGCCCATAGACATCTACATCTATCTTTAAGTAAAAATCGAAATGCAGATGCATTGTCACCGTGTGACTGCGAGTGCGTGTGAATGCGTTGTGACTAAGATAGAATACCTCATTTCCAATTGCAAGGGGTTTCCGGTTCTCTACACTCACTATACGAAACAGCAGCATTAAGCTGCTATTTTAGGCTGTGCGTGAGCGTGGTCCTTCCCCGGTAGAACCGACACATTCGTGCTACAAACAACAGCTGCAGCATGGCTCTACCTCATATACTTACTGCAGCCTACCATGTTCACCGCTAGACACTTAATATTAAAGTGTATAATAATGGGCTAATAATTTCGCGCAGTGAACTTATAGCTCTTGTAAACATCGTTACAGTGTCACTATCATTGAAAAAGTGCGATTTAATTTAAAGTACATTTATTCATTTATTTCATAATTATAGCATCATTACAGTTATATTAACCAATGCGATGCTATAACTAACCTAAATATAAGAAAACTACTAACTTATAAATAATGATTATAAAATAATGAATAATAATATTAGCATGATAATAAAATAAAATACTAATTAAAGGAATTACAATTTTCAACGCATTTGTATGCTGCAATTGTGAACTTCGTCTGACTACATTTAAATATGTCAATATCCTGTGAGATGATATTAACGTAGTGTACGGCACGTGTCAATGGTGCATTCTGCCCATAGCAGCTTCCTCGACGGGCAGACGCGGGTCGGGCCCAATGGCCACATGGAAGAATATCCTATCATACTAAACTATATGGGAGAATGCCAGGAAAATATAGTACGTACCTGTTTCCGACTCTAAGATCGCCCCAAGGCTCGGTCAGGCCTTAAGTGGGTGTAAGGCGAATGGCAAGTAGTGTTTAGCGATGTGTATGTGTCTGAGACCTGGACCAGCTTAGGTGACCAGCAGCGAGTTCCAGGCTGCCCCACAATGCTGCATCGCTCCAGCAGGCTCCACCGCTGGACCATTTCTTTCTTCCTGTCACTATTTCAGTCTATTAACTTCATTGTACGATTAACTAACTTAAACTCGCCTAATTCCACATTCATCGTAGAATCGAACACGTGATACCCGGCACAGTAACGGACAGTAGTTCCAAGCTCAACACTCAATGTCCCGGATTCATTTATCGCCAAATTATAAATAGGGAACTAATGCGATTTATTCATGAGTCACACGGTTCAGCGTTAAATACAACTAAGTTCCTTCGCTCGACATCAAAACATCACGCCGCGATAAGAATTCAAAATACGCCTCGTTGACACATAAAACTAACAAACCAGCCAACACACAAAAAAGGACACTTAACGCGACGGCACAATTATAATGATTTCCAGACAAGCAACCGGGAGACGCTCTCGAACAAGGAATGCGCGGTTCGAATTCTAGACCGTATATCTACTCAGCGCGCGCATGCGAAATTCCGCATCACCCGAGCAAGTTAAATATTGCAAAATCCACATATCCACGTAGCGAAGTGACACGCACTAAATCTAACCATCTGGACCCTACCGGTCGCGTGAACTTCTGCCGCGATAACCGAGATACG